AATCCAAGTTGCAGCGGCTGAGTTTCTTGAGCCAGTTTCCTTTACTTAGAAACTGGTTTTTGAATGTTTGGAAGAAAAGCTACGTGTATGACTATTCTTCTAATGAAATTTAAGCCTGAAATTTGGGTTTAGCGTAAAGTTTTGTTTTTGTATGCAATTTGTGTTTATTTCTCTCTGATTGTGTAATTGCAGATGGTGTTAAAGAGCTTCTGTAATTGTATCACTTTAGAGAAGCTAAAATTAGAGTGAAATGAGTTTATGAAATCGTCCACGTCATCACTTTCACGACACACAGTTGCCATGTCATTGTCCTGTTAAATCACTAACGACAGTGTTATAATTGGATGTAAAACATAACATTAGTGCTAAAATTAGAAGTTTGATGGTATAAATAAGTCATGGTTCAAAGTTGGATGATATTTGATATAGTTTGCCCTAAAATTAATACATCCCATATCAGCAGCCCCTGAAAGAAGTGGTCGTAAGGTAATCTGAGGCCTTTGCCCCCAACCAGTAACGCCACACACAAGTTAAATGAAAAAATGAAAATGAACCTATGAAATAATCTATGAAAAGTATATCTTATGGGGATTTAGCCAAATATCAATTAATGAGATGTGATGACAGCATCTCAAAATCCAGCTTCTGTGGATCAGATAGTTTGTTGTTTAAATTAAGAATAGGAATCCAAGTTGCATTACAAAGAAACTGGTATTTGAATTTGGAAGCAAAGTTAAGTGTATGGCTATTGTTTTAATGAAATTTAAGCTTGAAATTTGGAGTTCCAAGTAAAGAGTATTGAATCGTTCACTCAACCTTGGTATTAGCGTAAAGTTTTTTTTTTTTTGTAATTTGAGCTTATTTCCTTGATTGATGGCATTCTTTTATTGTCTCTCTGATTGTGTTTGTGTAATTGCAGATGGTGTAAAGAGCTGCTGTAATTTATCAGAGAAGTTGTTGCCTGACTTGATTTTGTAAATTTTGAATCTTTTTTCTTCATATCATGGAGAAAAACAACAATGATAATGATTTTACCTTTTGTCAGGTAAGTTAAAGTTCTATAGTTTTCATGACCTTGCATTATATCTTTTCGCTGCGTGTATGAACTTAGTTTATCAAGAAGAAGTATTGCTCTTTGTAATGATGTTTTTATTTTATTGTAAGAATAGTTAAATTTATGGTTTTTGGTTTAGGTTGGGTCACTGACCGATCAAAATGGTGTGGAGGAGAATAATCTAGCAGCTGATGTTGGTAGTATTGCCATTAAAGACGAATCGTCAAACTGCAGTGACGATAATAAGGATGGTGGTTTTCCCTGGAAAGATAAACAGCCACATCAGGTTAATGTTGGTTCTTTGAGTTTCACTGTTACGGATGCTTCACATTTGAAATCATCGGGTGAATCATCAAGAGAAGTAGCATCCGGAGATTCGGGTACTCCAGCCAAGAATGAAGAAAAGCCAAAGAATTCTACTAGAAAGCCTGCACCTCGGACCAAGGTTCCTTTCGAGAAGGGTTATAGTCAAATGGACTGGTTTAAGCTTACTCGAACACATCCTGACCTTGCAGGTATGATGTGAAATCGCCTCTAGGACTCCCTCCCCCCAATGACCTCAAATGGTAACACTAACTGCATTTCTCTTCTATATTTCAATGTAAATCATGTGTTTCAGGATTGAAAGGGCAGTCAAATAAGAGGCTTATTTCAATGAGTGAAGTTAAGCAAAATCAAAAAGATGGTTCCATGTGGACTGTTCTGAAAGGACGTGTGTACAATATATTTCCATACATGAAGTTTCACCCTGGAGGTTTGTTCACGACTTTTCATTTTCCCCTTAACTTTGAATCCGTTACCTCATAGTTTCTAGCCAAGCATAGAATTTGACGACATTATTATTTATGGTGGAATCATTGAGCTTAGATGTAACCAGGCAATTTTATTTTCCTATATTAGTTTTGTCTATGAATTTTGTAGTGTAATAATATATATATTTTGTCTAGAAAAGTCTATTAAACTATTTTGACCATATTATTTTTCTCAGGTGTTGATATGCTCATGAAGGCAGTGGGAAAAGATTCCACATCTTTATTCAGTATCCTTTAATAAAATCTATGTGTGGTTGAGGTCGAGGTAATGCTGATTTTAACATGTTCTTCAGTTGAAATAATGTTTGCATAACATTAGACTAAGATTAGATACCCTTAGTGGAGATGCTTGAAAGCCTAGCTTAAGATATAGGACAGTCTTATAATCGATGTCAGATATACGTCTATCTTTTTATAAAAATGGTGAAAGTACGTGCTGTTATTCTCCTCGTGTTGTAACTTTTAAAATTATACATCCTTAACCTGTGTCAAGACAAATACCATGCTTGGGTGAACTTTGAATTCTTGCTGGAAAAATGTTTGGTTGGTATTTTGGATGATAGTGAAGGCAAACAGACGTGATAAAACCCGCTTCTTCCAGACTCGGCCTCGTTGTTGGCTGTTGTTATTGTTCTTGGTGCAGGAAGAGGTATGCTTATTATCCGTAGTTGGATCATGTCATTCGATTCTATAGATCTGAATTCATATTAGACGGTAAATGGAATAAGTTGTACTACACATGCATTGCTGCAATGTGATATTTCTAGCATCATATTAGCCTTTGATTGAATGGTCCATTGATACTAAATTTTTTGGTTGAAGAAAATAATATCGACTAGTGTTTTTATGATCAGTTGTATTTAATACAATGTTGTTTTTGGTTCTATTGATGCACTGATTCTCGATTTGATTTGCATGGCGGGTAGTGATAAATCTTCTCGACGAAAGCGAGAGGATGTGGATGATCTTCGTGTGTGTATGTACTTCCGGCCTTGATAAATTGGTACCCTCCAATAACACATTCGAGATTCATATAATTGTAAATCTTTTCTTCTTCATATATATCACAATGATGTCGTAGCAGATAGTAATCAGAATCTTGATAAGCAAATGTCAAAAGAATGTTCATCGCATTTATGCCAAGCAACTGCATTTCATATGCAAAGCAAGTGCACAATCCTTCCATGTGTGTGCCAATTCGGTCCTAAAACTTGTACCACAAGCATTGCACTTGCCTTTACGTGTAAATATTAAGGACCAACCCAATAATTATACCTTTGTTTTTAACTGTCACGTCATCCATTCCCTTAAATATCAACAATTAAATTATTGTCAGAGAGAAAGTCATGGATTTCCGACGACCTAAAGGTAGATTCTTTCCCTCCCGATAGTGAGATCCCGAACGACACAAATAGTCGAAGAGACTACCATAGAGGCTAACCTTCTAAGGTAACCATTCTAAGCTCGGTTTCAACGCTTCTTTTTTTTTTTTTATTGGTATTGATTATCTGTGTAAAACCGAGGAGGGGAAGCCAATGCTTACAACGTTTTTTCCTTCGAAAAGTGGGGACCTCCCTTTCTTGGTACCGTTCACTTGGGTTTATATAACCCTTTTTACAATTGATTTTTTTCCACTTGTTTGCTTATGGGTTGCTCATGTGGTGAATGCCATGCATGTTGCTGAAGTTGGCTTTTCGCTTACTTGCTCTTGCATTACCTATGAGGCCACGTGCCTGGCGGATGCCATTCATAGAATGATGATGGAATGGGTAGGAGCACTTATCAAGCAAGTCGATCATGAGTTGAACATTGCTCGACTCGTGCCTGTTAAAAGTTTTGTTATTCGACTCGACTCGTTGTTCGTTAAAATTCTGCTTGACTCGTACTCGTTAAAAAAAACTTGTTGCTCGACTCGTGCTCGTTAAGCCCATTGCTCAACTAGTTCCTCGTTAAGTTCACTGTAATTTTTATCTTATTTTTTAACTATATGTAAAATCTACTAATACTATAAATTAATAGATTAACCATTTATTATGTTGTTATTATCTACTAGTAAATTAGTAATTTTTTAATGAAATAAATTTTTAAAATAACTAATAAAAAATTATTAAAAAATTAAAGAGCTATTCGTGAATTTTTCTAGTCGAGTTGGACTTTACTCAATTCAGCTCGTTAAGATCTCAAGTCGAGTCAACCCGATTCGAGCTTTTATCGAGTTTTGACCGTGTCGAGTTCGAACTGCTCAACTCATTAAGCACCCCTAGAAATGGGCTTAGAGACTTAGAGGACCAAATTGTAGAAATGATGATATTTTAAGGACCGTTGACGAAGAATGGTCAATTGGAGGCAAAGCGTGCCAGGACGAATTGAACTCGTGCCCCTTAAAAGTGGCATCCAGTTCTATAATTAAAATTTTATTTTTTTATTAATAAAATTAAAATTTTAAGCACAAACTAAGTGATCTCTATAGTAGAGTAATTATTATTATTTCTTGAAAATTCAAATTCAAATATATAAAATATTAAAGGTGTAAGCGTTCAATATCAAAAAATTAAAAATAATCTTTAAATAAATACTAAATTTTACATACCTCAAATTAACTCAAAAAAATAATAACCAGGTACCTCAAAACATTTTTCATCTATTTTATCACTTCAAATTGTACTATATACCATCCAATTCGTTTTTAAGAGTAAACTACACATTTAATCACTCAACTTTTATAGTGTTTCTATTTTGTTTACCTAGCTTTATAATTTTCCAATTTTATCACTCAACTTTTGAAATTCATTTTTAACACAAATTCTTAATAATTAGTTGAGTGATCAAAATAGAAACACATACGAAGTTAATGAAATAATCATAGTTTGCAAATAACTTTGATTTTGATTCAGTTCTCATAAATTACTCGTATTCATAATAATGCAATAGTATTTTACATTTAATAATTACAGATAGTAATAATCATACGGAAGTGATGATTGGATCATTGTCTAGCCCCTACAGCCGCAAGCTGCTTCTTCAGATTGAGCACCTCGATTGCCTTTGATGATAATCGTTCCTTCAAGTTCGCCGAAGCTTCCTCGAAGTTCCGATTCATGATGTCCGACTCATTGATGGCCTTTCTGTATCGTATCGGAAGCCATCTAACTGTGCTTGCGTTCCTCGGAGCCTCATTCTGAGTTTTGCTATGTCTTTGCCATTGTTGACATGATCCTATCATAAACGCAGAATGCATATGCGTAAATGCCAGTTCAATAGAAGCATGAAAGCAATTTTAAACAATACTCGATTCAGTTTACTTGATTGAAAGGATGAGAAGAGCAGTGGATGAATGAAATGTGATGATAGTTGGTGTTTAGAATCATCATTTCAATGTAAATATGAAATCAATGTTCCAACATACTTTAGCTAGCTAACATTCAGATATCAGAAGCATATTTGAGGAATGGGGATGGTTAAAATGCAGAATTGTAATGGAAACATGTCTAAACTTCATGAATTGTAAAATTGAATCCTCAAAAAATTTGAGAAAATCATTTTCTTAGCGGAAAGCTCCCATCCCAGATTCATTTTTACTGTTTCTCCATACTGATCTATTAAAATCGGCACGTGGATTCTTCTGGAACTAGTAGGCATAATGCCTAAATTAGCCTCCACATTTTAATTTTTGGTCAAAATAATCCTTGTTCGATGAAAATCATCAACTGATTAACGGTCAGTGTATATGCTGACGTGATATTTTCACACGTGTTAAATTGCTAACATGTCACATATCACTTTGGGTGACATGGCTCATACCACATCATCATCTTGAGTAACGTGGCATGTTACACAACAGTTTAGCACATTTGGAAATGTCACGTCCACAACATGCATTGACTGTCAGTCAATTAATGATTTTCATCCAGCAAGGGTCATTTTGACCAAAAATTAAAACTTTGAGAGTTAAATGCTCTGGAAAAAATTAGGGGCCAAAATGACCAGTTGGAAAATGTTGAGGCTAATTTTGGCATTATGCCCTAGTAAACACACATTTCAAAACAAATTCAGTGTGCAATTTGGCTAGTTACTTACATTGTGCATTTTGACTTCCAGAAAGGATAATCTGCTACTCAGTTCCTCAACCTGAACTTTAGCCTCCATTAACTGCCAAAAGAATTTCACATGATATTAGATAATGCTCAACCTAGCTAGATGCCAACTAAAAAATGACCTTTTTTAGCAACCAACCGCATCGCTGGAGTCTTTTCTATCGTTTTCCACTCCAACCAGACGGCTTTGCAGCTCTTCGATTGTGTCTTTAGTCTATTCCTTTCTGTTAACACGTCGTCAAGTTGATTTTTAAGATTCTGCGAAGTATAAAATAAACTTCTCAATCTCTAGAAAATAAATGTTAGTGATGATTTTCTTATGGTTGATCTTTTTTCAGTTGAAAACCTGGAGCTCGTCTGAGAGGTGAGTTTCGGGGACCGACTGTTCGATTTTGGCTGATAGATCATCTCGTTCTCTTTTGACAATACTAAGCTCCTCCTGCACATGTTGAAGCTCCAAAGAAAGCTTTTCCACATTTGAATTCAGTGTCCACAGATAAAATTAGTGTTAATATTCCTTAATGATACCATGTTGTGTTCTTGTTATAAGATAAAAGGAAAATTACCTGCTGGATTTGTTTGCTTTCGGCACAAGCATTCTCTATGTCACTTTTAAGCTGGACGATCTCCAAAGACTTCTGAATACTGCAATAGTAGAAAGTGGCTGTTTAATTAACTCCATTACCATAATCTCAAAGCTTGAACCACTCGATAACTCATAAATATAGCAACTAGGGTGATTATCGAGCAAGTCTATCACAAGTTGAGTAGTGTTCCACCTGTGCTCATTAAAAAAAATTGTTGCTTGACCCGTTTCTCATTTAGCTTGATAAAATTTTGCTCGACTCTTGCTCGTTAAAAAACTTGTTGCTCGACTCGTTAAGTTCACCAGAATTTTTACATTTTTTTAACTATATATAAAATCTAGTAAATTAATAATTTAGTATCTTTTGTTTATTGGAAAGATAATAAATTAATAGTAATTATTAATTAGTAATTTAGTATCTTTCTTATTAGCAAATTAGTAGTTATAAACTAGACTTTCTTTTTTTAATTGAATACTTTTTTAGGATAACTACTAAAATATAATGAAATGATCGCAAACTTATCAAGTCGAGTTGGACTTTGTTCGACTCAACTCGTTAAGGTCTCGAGTCGAGCTCGAATTTGAATCAATTTAACCCAAGTCGAGTTCGAACAAAAAGTTCTGGTCAAATTTAAAAGTGGAAATATTGAGGTTTTTCAGTGGCTTTTAAGTGGGAAAAAAGATAGGATAAAGGGGTAAACCATTCTTTCATTACCCTTATTCCGAAAAAGACAAGCTCGAAAAGTATTGAGGACTTTAGACTGATCAGCCTTGTCAGAGGGCTTTATAAGATTTGTCGAAGTTGTTATCTAGGAGATTACGGCAATGTATGGATTGGGTTGTTGGCCCTTCCCAATTCGCCTTCATTTCAGGGAGGCATATTATGGATTGTTTGTTTATTGCGAATGAGGGGATTGATTGTTAGAGAAGAAAAGGTCTTGAAGGAACAACGTTCAAAGTTGATTTCAAGAAAGCGTATGACTTAATTGATTGGAATATATTGCTGAAAATCATGGATTGTATGTGGTTTGGGAAGAGATGGAGATCTTGGATGAAAATGTGCTTGTCTACGGCTTCAATTTCGGTTTTAGTGAATGGGTCTCCTTCGGATGAGTTTCGGATTGCGATGGGTCTTCGACAGGGCTGCTCTCTCTCTCCTCTTCTTTTTAATTTGGTCGATGAATTATTGAGCTTGATGTTGTCGAAGGTTGTGTCTTTAGGCTTGTTTAGAGGATTTGAGATTGAAGTATGGGTAATTCCTTTGAGCTCTCTCACCTCCAATTTGCAAACGATCTATTAATCTTTAGCAACGCTTTGATCGGAGAGTTGAAGAATGTGAGTAGGGTGCTTTTGATCTTTGAGATGATGTCTGGTTTGCAAATTAATTTATCCAAGAGCATGTGATACAGAATCAACATGAATGAAGGGGTCTTTAGTGAGTGGGTTGCTATAATAGGGTGCACAGTGGGTTCCTTCCCAACAGATTATTTGGGGTTACCTCTTAGAGCGAAGAAAAATTCAGCATCATTATAGGACTCGGTTATACAAAAGTTTTACAAGAAATTGGCTGGGTCGAAGGAAACTTCTTTGTTTATTGCTAGTCGAGTTGTGTTGATAAAATCTGTTCTTTGCTCCTTGCCAACATATTTCATTTCAATTTTCAGAATGCTAAGTTGTGTGTTGAAGAGGCTTAATTCAATTATGGCGAAATTTATTATGGGGATTCGGTTGCTAAAAGCAGAATTCATTGGGTTAACTGGTCTATCGTTTGCAAGCCTAAGGTTTTGGGAGGGCTTGGGGTTCCAAATTTAGAGCTTATTAACAGAGTGTTATTGGGAAAATGGACGTGGAAATTTGCTAATGAGAAAAACTCTAGTTCAAAAAGGGTTATTTGCTGCAACAACAAAATTGATCCTAATTTAATGGGGTTAGGAAATTCGGCATCTTACAAAGCATCTTCGATATGGAAGGGGTAGTTAAAAATTGTTGTTTGAATGATGATTTTGGAGTTTGTTTGCAGAGTAATTTTAAAATGAAGGTAGGCAATGGGGATTCAATTTTGTTTTGGCATGACGTTTGGATTGATGGAGTTCCATTGTGTGTTTTCCAAGATAGTTCACTCTTTCAATTAACAAGGAGAGGAAGATTGATGATTTCAGGAAATCAAACTCCTCAGGCTGTTTTTGGGACATTCCAATGAGAATAAATCTTGCCGATTGGGAGATGCAGCAATGGAATGAACTTATTTCATTATTGTATAATTTTAATCCCTCGCCTTTGATTGATGACAACCTTGTGTGGTCAGGAGAAAGAGATGGTCGTTTTTCAATCAAATCTTATCTTTGAATCCTTCTTGACAATTCAAAGGACAATTTTTTGTGGTTAAGACGTGTGGTCTGGTGTGGCTCTTCCTCGGGTCGAATCTTTTGTCTGGCAGGTAGGGCACAAGAATGTAGCAGTCAAAGTGGATTTAATTAATCGTGGGGTGTAAGGGATTAAATATCCATCTTGTCCATTTTGCGGGATGGTCAAGAAATTGTTTTTCATTTGTTTGTTTCGTTTAAAATATCATGGGGTTTATGGGTGAGCTTTTGCGGTTTTGGAAGGTTTCTTTTGCTATTCCTGAGTGTCCTACAACATTGATTTCCGATTGGTTTGGCCTTGTGTCTCGATCAACTATTTGGGGTTCATACCAGGAGTCATTTTGTGGTCAATTTGGAAGATGAGGAATTAGATAGTTTTTAACAAAGAGAAGCTAGATTTTGCCCTGTTATCCTTTCTCGCAGCATGGTTTACCTCAAAATTTCCAAACATGTTGATTTCTTTTGATAGTCTAGTGGGGATCCTTCATTAACTGATCTTGTTTCGAATCTTGATAGGATCCCTTCAAATTTGTTGAGCTGGTCTCTGACTCCAATCGGTTTTGTAAAGTGAACGTGGATGGTGCTATAGATAGAATTGTTCATAAAGAGTAAACAACATAGTGAATAAGAAAATGAACTCTTTTTATTATATATTGTGAATGGTGAAAATACATCTTTTTATAGGAAAAGTTAGGAGTAAGTTTTCTATTAGAAGTAAACTACTAGTAGTTCCTTATCTATCTAACTTTCTAAGAGCTAGTGTTATATTAAAATACTAACTTATCTATTGCATAACCTACACTCCCCCTCAAGTTGGGGACTAAATGTTGAATAGACCCAACTTGGATATAATCTCATCAAAGGTAATTCTTGGAAGTGCTTTGGTGAGAATATGCTAACTGATTCTTCGTTGAAACATAATTGAGCTTCACCGTTCCACCATTCACCTTTTCGGAGATGAAATGTCTGTCAATCTCTACATGCTTCTTTCGGTCATGATGAACTGGATTCTTTGCAATACTTATTGCAGATTTACTGTCACTTTGAAGTTCAAACCATTTGTTGGCACATAACCCCAGCTCAATTAACATTCTTTGAAGCCAAATTCCTTTGCAAATTCCAAGTGTCATTGCTCTAATTCTGCTTCTACACTACTTCGAGACACCACCGCCTGTTTTTTGCTTCTCCAAGTAACCAGATTTCCCCAAACAAATGAACAATAACCAGTTGTAGATCTTCTATTCGTTAATTCACCTGCCCAGCTTGAATCCGAAAAAATTCTTACTGTTCTATCATCACTCTTTCTAAAAATTAATCCATGTCCTGATGTCATTTTCAAGTATCTTAGAATTCTATTCACAACCTGTAAATGTTCTTCTCTTGGATCATTCATATATTGACTCACTATACTGACAGGGAACGCAATATCAGGTCTAGTAAGTGATAAATAAATTAGTTTACCTACTAGCCTTTGATACTGTTCTTTGTTCACAGGACTTCCCATTCTTCTCTCTTTAGCTTCAGATTTGCTTCCATGGGTGTTTCTGGCTTACATCCCTTCATTCCAGTTTCTGATAGTAGATCAAGGATATATTTCCTTTGGTTGATCACTATTCCTTCTTTTGACCTTGCAACCTCCATGCCTAAAAAATACCGTAAAGTTCCCAAGTCTTTGGTTTCGAACTCCTTCGCCAGTAGATTTTTCAATATTTCTATCTCTATACAATCATCACCTGTTAGAATGATATCATCCACATAGACAATCAAAATTGCCTTTTTGTTGTTTGAAGATGTTTTGACAAATAAAGTATGATCTGATTGACATTGCTTGTAACCATCCTGAATAATCACCTTTGTAAATATGTCAAACCAGGCTCTTGGAGATTGCTTAATCCATACAAGGACTTTAGTAATCTACATGCTTTTTCTGTATTACTCTTCACACCCAGTGGAATTCGCATATATACTTCTTCCTCCAAGTTTCCGTTTAGAAATGCGTTTTTGATGTCTAACGATGAAGCACTCGATTCTCATTAACTGCTAATGACAGTAACACTCTCACAGTGTTTAGTTTTGCTACCGGAGCAAACATTTCATGATAATCAAGTCCAAAGATTGAGTGAATCCTTTCGCCACTAATCTCGCCTTATATCTTTCAATGCTACCATCAGCTTTGTATTTTACCGTGAATACCCATTTGCAGCCGACTGGTTTTTTATCTTTCGGAAGATCAACTATAATCCA